GGACTCACTCAGGGATAGAGCTGCCCCTGGCTTATGATTCCTGTAGATAAGACACTGACCAATCACAGAAAATGGTCTCATCAACAGTTGGAGGACTTCAGGGAGACAACAGGGCAGTGAGAGCTAGAGGTGTCCTGTCTGCTGGATGTCCATCATCCAGAGACTGACCGAGTCCTCGTTCTGGCTCCTTTAGTAGTCCCATATGGCACCCACCCCTCAGCACTGCCCTGTGCTTCCATTGGGAAGTTACGAGGCCTCCCCGTCTTCCCACAGTGACCTAGTACAGATGCAGCTCTCCCCAGCCCAGAAGAAACCCTTAGGGACATAGGCCAGAGCTCTCCCCGACCCAACCTCCTTTGCTTTCCAGATGTGTGTTAACTCAGGGGCCCTGGATAAATGGGTCACCTCTGCAAGACTGCCCTGGGCTCTCTAGGCACAGCGCACCCCACGGTGCCACATGCCACATCCCTAGAGTCACAGTGATCATGTGTGCTCTGCGTGCCTACCTGGTGGCTCCTCCACCAAGCAACTTTAGGATATGACCCATCAGTGGCGGTAAAATAGGTGTTCAGGTGATACAGCGCACATAGCCCAGGGTGTGACCACATTCACTGGCTGTCCCCATAGGAGGAGGGACTCCAGTTGTGGTCTGGGCTGTGTAGGAGGTTTCCCTAGTTCACTGTTTACAAATGGCAAAGAGCAAGTTTCCAGTACAGGGTCAGGAGGAGAGGAAGGAGGACCAAGTGTGGTCGCTTGATGCTCACACCCACATCAGACTCTGAGATGGCGCTAGGTGCTCTGCAGAGAGGGAGGGGATAGGACAGTCTACCCCCAAGAGACACAGATGAAACCTGAGGCACAGAGAGGGCAAGCAATTTGCAGCAAGTCACATAGCTGTGCGTAAGGCTCTGAAAGCCAAAGGGCTGTGCCTTCCTTTCTGAGGGCAGAAGATGGACTCTACAGGTCAGCAGGGGCTCTGACTCTCTTGATGCCCTTCTCTACCAGTAAGATGGGACCCACCGCAGCCAAAGCGGTTTCCGCTGGGCTCTTTCCTGGGTGCTTCTGAAGGGGACCAAGCTTCCTTATGATTCTCACTTGTCAACCAGGGTTGTCAAGGTACATGAGGGGCCCCCTTGACTGGCCCCCAGAGTGTTGGGGAGCATTTCTGTTGCCCTTTGCTGCCTCCCCCCTTAAGTAAACAAGAGACTGTGCTCCTGGGTCTTCTGCTACTTCCACAAGGAGCCTCAGACTCTGCCTGGGAGGCTCAGAGCACCGGGGCAAACTGGCCCCAAGAGGCTGAAAGGGAGTAGAAAGGGAGTCCATGAGCTCTGGGCTCTCCTGCAGGAGGAGTCTTGGCCTAGAGACATCTTCCTTATTATGGCCAAATTCATTTTTGTTTTCCTTCCCGGTGACATCTGGCTTGCCGTGAGGTCTTACACATTACAAAAAGCAGGAGCCTGAACTTCTGTTTTATTGCCTAAGGAAGCATGCTGTCGTTCAAGGGAAGAAGGGAGGGGAGGCCAGCAGGGCAGCCTCTACCAAGCTGCTCTCCACCTGGTCAGGCTGGGACTGGACGTGGAAACTAGGAACCAAGTGTTTATCGCTTCCATCATCCCAGGTTTTTACCCGGATGCCGGTGTATCAGCCCAGCCTCTCCCACTGAGGCCGAGGGCCACTTTCACACAGGACACTTTACCGCACAAGCGAAGCCCTGTAACCCTGCTCTCACATGCTGCCCTAGTCTGGGTTCCTCAGAGGCAGAATCAGGTCCCAGGAAAGTTGGAAGAACACGACCCTCAGAAAAGGGGGTGTTGTTCACTCACTCAGTTCCTGAGGAGACAAGAGCAAAATAGGGATGACCACTTTCTCGGAAGGCAGAATAGGGTTCGCCTGACCTGGTCCAGAGGCTGGACACCCTGTGGAAATGGTCCTCAGGCCTTTGATGTCTAGAAAACCTCTCTGGGTCTATAAAGTGGGGCAGTGATGTCAGCAGCCACTCTAGAGTTGCTGTGAGGTCCCAGTGAGAGGAGGCAGACCAGTATTGAGTCCAGCACAGCCTGGGATCCCAGGGGTAAGCTGGACTGCCCTGGGCTATTTCTGTCATCCACTCCCAGGATGGAGCAGGCTTTCAGGCCATGACAGCAAACACTCCCCAGGGCCAAACTATGTTCAGGCAGAGCAGCCTCAGCAAAGCCCCACTGTTGACCACCCCCAGGGGCCTGGGGATGAGGCTGCCCCATGGGTGTGGAGTTCTAGCAGCAGTGTCTGCTATAATAACCATATGTCATTTCAGTGGCTTCCAGAGAGCTTTGAGTGACACCCCTGTCTCCAGATCTGTGAGGTGGGAACCAGGAGAGGGTGGTAAAGCTTCAGGTGAGCCAGAAATGGCAGAGATGGGGCTGACCAGGGACTGTAGGACAGCTGCACCCCACCTGCCTGAGGTGCCCAGCAGAGGGCTCCCCACCCATAGCATTAACCCTGGTCACCTGTAGCCCCTGGGATATACTCAAAGCCTCAAGGGTGCTGAAGGAAAAGCCAGGCACAAGGATTCCAGGAGACCACACAGCTCAGAGGGGGTGGGCTGGTCATCAGACTTACCCTACCAACTCTCTCTAGTCAGGCACGGAGACCTAGACAGGACAGCAACCACTGTTCAAGAAGGTGCTGTGGCCCTGGGTGCGAGGCGGGCAGGCAGACCCAGAGGCAGGCAGGATCAGGGAACAACGGCTGCTATGCAGCTCTGTGGAAGCACTGGTCCCTTTGCCTTGGGCACTGCCAGTCCAGCACCTGCTGTGCCTGCTCCTCCTGCACTGGGTTCTGAGCACACTTTGTGCATGCACACTCCTGCAGACAGGAAAGAGCTAGGTGGGTCCTCTTCCCTCTTAGCAGTGGAAGAAATCCAGATCCATTTAATTCACCACCATCCTGCTGCCCTGGCACGTGGGAGGCTGAGGATGAATCAGAAACCCCCAAACTCATCCTGCTTATGGAACAGCAGGGGAGGGGAGGCCCACTGAGAGCCCTAAGACCATTCCAGAAGGTGGTGGCAAATGCCTCACCTCAGAGGACGCTGCAGCCAAGCCTGGCCCTCCACAATGGGCAACCCCACTGACTGGGATCTTGTGGATCAGTGACCTAGTCTGCCAGCATCTCCAGATACTTGTGTAGGAAGGAAAATTAATTTCCTCCAGTCGTGCAGAAATGAAAATATGTGGAGCCCAATCAGAGAGATTTCCTGGAGGTGGTAACTCAATTACAAAGATAACCCAGTGACAGAAGAGCCGGGCAGGGACCTCAAGGGCTTGTGGGTGGCCCACAGCAGCCCTGGAGCATCCTGCAGGGAGGCATCCAGGAGCGTCCTCCACGTGCCAGCCTGGGCTTCGCATATAGCAATGACGTGGTGCCATGCTAGGTACACATGGCCCTCCCTCTTCTCCCAGTCATCAAGATCACAGCACCCCCATGAGAGGTAGATTCTGCCAGAAAATCAGTGCTAACATGATCCCTCTTCCCTGCATCTAGCTCTCGGGTAGCACCGAGCGTCACAGCTGTTCCTTCTGCCTGTTTTCCTTTCTCTATGTTTCTCAGGGCACAAGAATGGCCCTCAACCCCGCTAAACAGAGACCCAAATAGCATCACTGTATCAGCACAGTGTTCTGAACGGAAGACCTGGTGCTTGTAACTCCTCCTGTCAGCCAGGGAACTATATTTTGGGGGTTCCATCCTTCAGAGGATTGGGTGGGGTGACAGTATGACCCTATCGTCAGCACTCCATGCTCGTGGTCAAGAACGATCCACAGGACCATCCCAGGGATCAAGTAAATTCTAGCCAGGTGAGACTGGACTCTCTCAGGCCAGCCTCCACCTCCTGGGGTCTGAGTGAGATGAGAGCGCCCCAGCCTTGAGAAGTTTCTCAAACCTTCCAGCAACTTGCAAGGGCAATGCCAGGGCACAGAGCCGGTTCCCTTTGTCTTCAGCCAGCACTATCCCCTGATGGCTGCCTGGGAACCTCCTGTTTCTGAGCCGAGAGAGGAAGCCCACACCCAGCCAGACATAATGAAGCCACATCCTGGCCTCAGGGCAGGAGGGACAGTGTGACAGTTACTGGGATCAGCCCCACAAACAGGAACACGAGGTTTTCTGTTATTTAGAGGAACTGGGCTCTGAAAGTCAGCCTCAGGTCACACGGCAGGACAGTTCTATTTGGAGGGCAGGGGTCTCCACATTCCTAAGTCCACCCAGTACTGTGGCTACCAAGCCCAAACATACCAAGTTCAGGGCTATGTGTTTAGAGCCAGCGGCTCCGAGTCGGGAACTGCCAGCCTGGCTGCCTTCTGCTCCACCTTAGTCAGCCCGACTCCGGCTCAATCTCCAGCCATCTGTCCCTCCTCGGTGCTCACACCTCCTCCCCGCTGTTCCCACAGCCTGGCTCTCGGCCTGCCCTACACACAGATGGACCGTTCCCAAAGGCTGTAAGCAGGATCGAGGCTGTGCCTGCACCTGGCTGTCAGGACCCCAGGGAGAGCGGTCAAGGTCCCCTCCCCACCACCAGGAAGGATGCTCAGAGCCAGGGCCTTGACAGATCCAGGGACCAAAACAAGAGGGGGAGGGGCTAGAGGAAGCAACAGACCCTCTCCTGCCAGCTCTGTCTCTCTAAGGGGTGGCCCTCTGGTTCTCCAGTCAGTGTCAGCCCTGTCACCCAGGCTACCAGCCTTTGTTAAGGAAACCCGGCGCCCCGCGGTGGTGGTGGTGGTGGCGGGGCTCCTCCAACGGCTCCGCTACCATTTTCAAGTTAACCACACCCTGGGCAGGTCGAGCTGTCAGCTCACCTGGGGTGAGTGCACTCGGTCAAGTGAGTGGGCGCAGAGTTGGCTCCACCCGGCCGTGGGCACGAACTTTGTAAAGTGGCGGGGGGCGCAGTGCGCGACCCCCGGGAGGGTGAGAGGCTGGCGGAGTAGGGTGACAGCGGCGGCGCAGCACGGGGCAGAGGCGGCACTTACGGTCTGGAGCTCCGGCGGGGCGGTCGCCCCCTGGCAACCCGGCTCCTGAAGTGGCTTTTCCTTCTCACTCGGTCGCCACCTCTGTAACTTGGGCGGCGATCTGTGCGCGCTGTCTTCTCGCGCGGCGCGGGGTTCAGGCGCACGGCGGGGCCGGAGCGCGCGGGGCGGCCTCCGGGGCCATGCCGGG